AAGGACGATTATTTTGTCAGTGGTGCCGGGTTGCCGGGCAGATTCAAGGCAGAGAAAGTGGAGTTTCACTGGGGTCAAAGCAACGGTTCAGCTGGCTCTGAGCACAGCATCAATGGCAAGAGGTTCCCTGTTGAGGTGAGTGGAAAGGCATGCGCTTATGTTCTCGAAAAAAATAAAATCAGAACGTATTGCTGTGGTTTGAGACGACTGTGAAATAGGGCAATGTTTCCTTCAATGAACATATCACTTTCAAGGCCCTTCCGGCCCTTGCAGCACTCTATCTATCATCTGTTACGTGCTTTTGCAATGTCAGCTCGGAGCTCTGCTTTGCTAGCATTGCCAGCTCTCATGTCCCATGGGTTAAGTTGCAAACAGCCACTTTTCTCGTTTCTCCCATAAGCTTTTCATGTGTGGGAGGATCTCCTTGCAAATATCTGCAAAGTGACCTCCTTGTCCTCCAAATCTTTTCTTTCCCATGCTGCTTGCAAACAAATAGCAGCGGTTTGGGAGCCGTTGTGCTGAGACTGCCTTTCATCAGTATTGCTCCCTTGCACACGCATGGCCCTCTCTCTACCTGTATTCAGCTGCGGTCCCTTGCTTTGTACTAACAGGACGTCTACCTAAATCTGTGCAAACAGCTGTGTGTTTGCTCTGCCTCTGCCGGAGCCAGCTGGACCCGAGCCAGCCGTGGGCTGCCAGCCGCCCAGCTATCATAGCAGAGCGCCGTGCCGCAGCGGGAGCAAGGTATCGGCTCTGGCACAGCACCCTGCGAGCGCGGCTGTGTTCAGAGCACGGGGCTGGGCGACAGTCTGCAGCCGGCCACGGGGATGTGCCTCTAGACGGCCAGGATGGGTCCCGGCACCGGGGGCTGCTGTGGCGCCTGGTTGGGCCTTGGCTTGTGACCGATAGTCTTAGGTCTCTCTGTCATCAGTGCAGTGTTTTCTGTGTCGGTAGAGCTTGTTGATACTTTTCACTCTACATTCAAGGTTTTACGTGGTGAGATAAAACAGATGTTATCTGGGATTACCTTTGCCTGTCGGTAAGCGGATAAGCACTTTCAGAGCGTGGCGTGGAGACGTGAGCAGGTTGAGGGGGAGCTGTGCTTGCCCAGAAAGCTCACATGTGAACAGAAACGGTTGTCTTGTGAGCTGGGTCTTGCAAGAACTTGATTCAGCCCCCAGCTTGCCATAATTCCTCGCATGTGGCTTTAGCCAAGTCACTTTTTTAGGACGTGGGAAGGGGCTTCCAAAGCCAAAAGGAGGTAGTAATATAGACTCTGGTGCATGACCAAACCCTCCAATTTTCATCTCCCTGCTCCAACTGCCCCCTCACATGAGAATTAGAAGCTATTTTTTGTCTCCCAATTCTAAACCTGTACGTTGGGTGTTCTGTGAGGCAGAGATTTTTTATTTTCTTACTTTTTAATGAGCTTTTCCAACACCTTCTGGTGATTTCTTACAAGGCACTATCCTGAACACACTGAGAAAAGGCCCAGCTGTTGGCAATACTGCTATTTGTAACCCTATCTTTGGGCAGCAGAAGGAGCACTCAGGAAGTCTACAGAGCCAGTCAACTCCTCTTTTGAGATTCCAGGGAGTGGAGATGGTAAAGGAGCCTAGGCCTTCTTGTTTGTGTCAGAAATAGTATTTCTACTCACAAACCCTTTCCTATGATGCCAAGGCTATTTGATGCTGCCTTGATGAATGGAAACTATTTGGAAAAAAGCAAATTCCCAAGAAATAAATTTTCCTTTGGTTTAGATATTCTTCAGTTTCTTTTCAATTGGTTGGAATATTACTTTTTTTTTCTACTTTAAAATTGAAAACAAAAGAGACTGCCTTTCTGAATTTAGGTCATTTGTTTATGAATGCTGTGCAAAATAAATTGCTGTATCAGATAGGTTTGGTGTTAATCCTAATAATGAAAATGTAATTTTCCAAGTGATTTGTATTCATTGGAATGCCATGAACCTCTGTTCTCTGGCCTTCCTGGGTATGATGGCATTAGCAGAATTCTCACAGCCTTTCCTTTACTGATTTTAAAGGAAGAGCAGTTTCCAAACCAAGCCTTTCCCTGTTGTGATGCTATCTACCTCCTGCCTCAGAAGTACAAGTTTCAATCGTGCTGAAAAGGATTTTCATGGGTGGCTTTTAAAGGGTCCAGTAGGTCTAAGGTGATGAAACTGAGTCCTTGCTGATACATATAAACCTAGTCCTCGTAGTTGGGATTAGACCTCTCAAACAGTAACTGTACATGTATGCATGGTGGAACTTTTAATTTGTAATGCTAATTGTAGTTCAGCTTGCAACTGTCTGATGCAACCCTAATTGCCTGATGCTGGGAGGTCTGTGCCAGAAAAAAAGCTGTACTTCATTTGAGAAGTGGCATTTCTAGGAAGGCTGTAGAAAGGAAGAAACTGAATCCTATCCTACAGAAAGCAAAGCCCAAATCACTCTGATTATTCTGAGCCCGTGGACATAGGTAAAGCTTTTAAGGAGGACACAGGTATTGGCATTCCAGGTCTGCAGCAGTTACGGTGGGGATGCAGCTGAAAGGAAACATTTTCTGAGTCTAATTGTGCAACCAGATGTGGACTATGCAAAACCCATTAGTTCCAAAGCACATCCCAAGGGAACGCAGATAGATCAGCTTCATCCATAGACTGTGCGCTATGCTCATGAAGTTTAGATGTTTTTTCCTCTGGGAAACAAAGTGCTTGCTGGTAGTCTTTTTTCTTGAAGAGGATGCAGAAACTAATTAGAAATGTCAGATATAATACAGAGCATTATTGTTTGACCATGTTGTTTGGTTTTTATTATTACAACTAATGTGTCAGATGGTAAGGCTGTCTACGTTAATTGGTTTCCTTCATTGAAGCCCATCTGGATCATATTTTTTTGTGATTTATATGTTAAATTAGTTGGTAAGATATATGAGAACATCCTTTTGTTTCCTGCTTTAAAGGCATGTTCGATCAAAGGCGTATTATCTTGCAGTACTTTTATGCAGCCGTAGCATATTGTGATTCCTTTTCAAACCATGGCATATGTAATGGTATTCTTTCGTTACGTGGTCTTGATTGCTTACTTATTGATTAGGTTTTCGTTGGTGATCCTTGAGCCTTACAAAGCCATTGTGAGCTTGGCTGACTCTGAAGTAGCATTCGTGAACAGAGATGTCCACGTGCTTCAAACCTCCATCCACAGCCAGGTTCCAGTTTGATACCAGACCTGGTCAGCATTGGCCTGAAGTTTCTTTTTCCCTCCTTCTTGCCATTTTAGCACCATCATCTGGATGAGGCCAGGAACTCGAGTGCTTTGGCGATGAAGATTAAAGCGATACCATTAGCGTATTGCTGTGTAAGTGGAGTGTGAATCCTAATGAGGACGTGGGCTCTGTGCCAGTTTAGAAAAAGTCTCCCTCCTTTTTTCTTCAAGTTAAGAAAAGTTTTTGACATTGCATTCTCTAAATTTTAATGAATTGCTGACTCCTTTGTATTTTGTTATTGTTCTTCTCCACTATAATTACTCAGGCTTTTCTTTTGCTTTCTGAAGTCGAAGCGGTATAAATGAACATGCAAATGCTAGAAACCATTTAAATGGCGAAGTGACAAAATTAAAATAAAGAAGATGAGCTCCCCTCAGGCCAGGAGAGAACCCAGGTTCCCCTCATTAGAGCCAAGAGGAGTAATTGCAGCACTTTAATCTCCGGTGTCACTGCACCGGTTACCAGCCCTGCCTGCGCAGAGCTTGCAGCAAGGCAGGGCACACCATGAGGGCTGCCTGCGAGGAGGGAAACCCAGCGCTTAATATTTCATCGGCAAGCAAAGAGCTGACGTGGCAACGCTGTGCTGTGCTGGCGGAGGTCGGTACCGCCGTCCCAGCGTAACTGTGATTTTTGTGAGCTGCTTCGTACTCATTTTTATGCAAAATGCTGATTATTTCTGTGAAGAGCTGAAATCAGAAGAGTGATTTTAATCATGACTGTGTTAATTTGATGTGAGCTTTGGCTGTTTATGAGCTTTCTCTTTAATCGCGCTAATTGTCAGTTATAATGTGAACACCATTATACAGTAATATACAGTAATTTATTTAGTAAATGAGAATCTTATTCCAAAGACCATACTGCAGTATGCCATAGAGACCTCATCCCTTTAATCTTACATGAACAAACTTGCACTGTCTAGGCCAAATTGGTAATAGGAACATCAACTTGGCTTCTGAAATAGCAGTGCAATTTCATACCCACAAGTGCCAACATGCATGTTTTTGGAGGTCTCGAGTTCTTCTCCATTAAAAAAAAATCCAAAAAACCCCCAACAAAACCCCCCAAACCATCCCAGCAGAAAATGAAAAGCTAACACCCTTTCATGTTGATTAATGAGCTTTTACATTATGATGATAGATTCATTTTACTAAATTATTATTACAAAACAATCATTTGCATTAACAATCTTGCTCTTCTTTAAGCGTGTTTCTTAGAAGGCTTTCCAGGTTCTAATGGTATCTTTGTTCTTGCTGCTGCTTTGATTTTCTTCCTTTTCCCTTTGAATATACATCCTAACTTCAGCGTAGCCTAGATCTACAGCTAGTCTCTCTAATTTGAACGCTCAGATCTCCTTGCCAAAGTTTATCACTGTGTGCTATCCTACCTCTCATTGTATCACTTAAATGTTGATGTTTTATATTATCACAGGCAGAAGACAATCAATGTCATTAATGTAGAAGAAACATGTGGTATTCAGTGCACAAAACCCTTTATTATAGAGAGTAAATTAGGCTAGTTAATGTTCTTTTTTTTTTATCCTGAATGTTAAGTCTTTCTATCACACCTGGAGTCATCTACAGTAGATGTACGCCCAGCCTTTTGTCCACCTGTGGTTGGCAGGGGGATATTTACTTTTTAATGTTAGAACCGGGGCCTTTTCTGTTCTTTAGTTTTACTCTTGGTGCATTTGTAAGTCTGTTCATAATTGTGCATGGTTTTTCACATTAAAAGATGAGCGTATCACAGTATGTTTTCTTGATATACAGGAGAGAACTAACACCCTATGTTGCTGTCTTGCAGCTGGGTTTATTATTTCTGGTATCCAGCACAAAATGGGCCACAAAAATGATCCGGGGGCTGGAGCACCT